CTCCCCTTCTCTTGATTCAGGCACAGCTAGGCTTGGTTGGGGTCCCCCACACTGGAGTGGGTCAGGTCACGTGCAGACTGTGGGGACTCGAGTCGCAGAAGAGGACTGGGAGGGAGCAGGGTTAAGTGGGGTCCTGAGTCTCACAGCCCACACTTCTCAGGGTCCTTGATGATCAAATGAGTTCAAGTGTCTACAGAAATAATCAATGAACTATCTATAATAGGAATAGGAAAGAGTTTTATCTGAGTCAAACTGAGGACCATAACAAGGGTGTAGACAGTGTCCCTATAGCTCTGGGAAGCTGTTCCATTGAAGAACGGTTTCCAGCAGTCTTACACCTCATCCAAACAAAGCACACACATCAACACGACAGAGTGGATTCCTTCAAGGTTTGAAAAGAGACAGACTTAGTGCATAGACAGCGAGGCAACAGCTCTCTGGTGTCTGGGAAGGGAAACTTATCTTCCAGGGAGTGTTAACATGGATGCCATGAGAAGGGAGTTATTCATCCTTATCTTCAAAACAGATGCCCTTTACCTCAGTGGTTAAAGCAGATGAGCTGTGAGGGCTGGACAGGCTGTCTTAGTTCACACACAGTTCAGGCTGAACCATGAATGAGCCAAAATGACTTCCACATTCCTCAATATGTGAGCATTTCCTCCATCATGAACATATAAAAATCTTAGAACCCTATGATCCAGCAATTCTACTTCTGAGAATATATCCAAAAGAATTGAAAGCACACTCTGGAAGAGATATCTGTAAACACCTATTCATTGCAGCATTATTCACAGTAACTAAAGCATGAAAGCAAGCCAAATGCCCATTGACCAAGAAAGGGTAAGCCAAATGTTATATGTGCCAGTAATAGAGTATTATTTATTATTGCAAAGGAAGGAAATTCTAACACATGCTACAACATGGAGGAAACTTGTAGACATTTTACTAAGTGATACAAGCCTGACAGGAAACAACTAATAAATATTCTATGATTCTCCTGGAGTGGTCAGTTTCACAGAGACAGAGAGCAGAAGGGTGATTGCCAGGAACTGTGAAGGAGAAAGGGGGAATTGTTGATGAATGGGTGCAGAGTTTAAGTTTTGCCAGATGAAAAAAAGTCCTGGAGTTTGGCTGGACAAAATGTGAATGTACTTAACATGATTGAACTGGACACTTAAAGATGGTTAAAATAGTAAATTTTATTTTATGAATATTATACTCAACAAAAATCATCTTGGAACTATTCCCTAAGGGTAACCACAGAGGAGTCAAGCTGATAACAACACAGCAGTTGCTCCCCGCCCGCCCAGCCCCATCTCCACCCCAACAACCCAGGGGTAAGGACCGTCTTCTGTGCTCAGGACTCCCTGCTTCTGTTCTTGGAGATGTCTCAGCTCCAGCCCCGCACAGCTTAACCTCAGCCTCCCTGACTGACCCAGGGCTCCAGGCTCTGCTCCAAGGATCCAGTAAGCCTCGGGTCACCCTCTTCCGTGGGAGACTGGGTGCTAAGTTCACATCCTCCCAAGGAGACCTCTGCAACCCCAGAGTGCAGGGGGTCAGCCTCGCTCCAGCCTGAGGGTGGAGAGCCCTGTTTTTCAGATGAAAGCAGAAGGTGGGAGCTGGGAGTGTGTGTGAAAAAAAGGTGTGTGGGGGGGATGGGGGGTAATTGGACCAGTGTCCTGATGATCTAAACCTATTTTTTTTCACTTATGTACAAACCATATTAATAATTACCCTCATACAGTGAATGGACATATAGACCCCTGATTTCAGTCTTCTATATACGGTCTGCCCTCTGTGTCTGTGGGTGCCTCATCTGAAGATATGGGGGTGACTGTCAGGAACTTGAGCTTCTGTGGATTTGGGTATTTGTAAGGGGCAACTGTATGGTGATATTACTTTTGGGTTTGCTACACACCCAGAAACTCTGTGAAGCTGACTACATTATTCAGCATTGGTGGCAGTTTTTAAAATGGTGGCAAAATACACAGAGAATTTACCATCTTGACCATTTTTAAGTGTACAGTTCAGTAATGTTAGGTGTACATTGTAAGAGTTCCGATCTCCAGAACTTTTCATCGTGTAAAACTGAAACTGTCTCTATTTTATAATAACTCCTTATTTCTCCCCAGCCCCTGCTGAACCACCATTCTATTTTTTTTTTTTTTTTAATTTGTTTACATGGCTGCTTCAGGTCTTAGTTGCATCATGCGGGATCTTTCGCTGCGATGCACAGACTCTGTAGTTGTGTTCTGAGGGCTCCAGAGCACACAGGCTTCAGTAGTTGTGGTCTGCAGGCTCAGCTGCCCCACGGCATGTGGGGTCATAGTTCCCAGACCGGGAATTGACCAGCCTCCCCTGCATTGCAAGGCCATCTTAACCATTGGACCGCCAGGCAAGTCCCCACCATTCTACTTTCCGTCTCTGTGATTTTTGACTGCTCTCAGTACTTCATAGAAGTGGAATCATACAATATTTGTATTATGTCACTTAGCATAATATTTTCAAGTTTCCTCCATGTTGTAGTGTGTATCAGAAATGTCGGTGTTTTCAAGGCTGAATAGTATTTCATTGAATGTATAGACCTCATCACATTTATCCATTTCTTTGAGGATGGACATCTGGGTTGGTTCCAACTTTCGGCTATTGTGATTAATGCTGCTATGAATATAGGCATACAACTATCTCTTTGAGGTCCTATTTTCAGTTCTTTTGGGTGTACACCCAGCAGTGGAATTGCTGGATCATGTGGTAAATCCATTTTTAGTTTTTTAGAGAACCTTACATTCCTACTCACGGTGCTCAAGTGTTCATCAGCAGCATTTGAGCAAGAAGGAAACACAGGTCCAGAGAAGTAAATGACTTGTTCAAAGGCACAGTAGTGTTCGAGGAGCCAAGATTCTAATCAGAGTGTCCTGGCTCTCTGAATGCTTGCTCTGAACCAAAATGCTAAACTTGGACTTCAGAGTATCAGGGGTGGAAGCCCCCTGATGGTGACTTGTGGTCACTAGGTCATCCTAGCCCTGCAGAGCAGTGTAGTGAGGGGACAGTTCATGCCCCAAAGCAGCAGGAAAGAGTCCTGTCGTTTCTGATTCAGAATGAAGGTTAATCCCTCTTCCCTCCAGGCAGTTAGTTGGGAGGCCACTCTGCTGTGATGCTTTGACTGAGCTGGGCTGGAGTCTGTCCCTCCCTACAAATTCCACCTCCTTCTGCCCCAAAGCAGAGTCCCTATTCCATGTCGCTCTGCAGGCAACAGAATGGGAAGCTACCAGGTTTAGGATCTTCGCCATGGAAACATGTGGAGTCTGTGATTTCTGATCACCAAGCCCCTTAGTCACTTCATCCCTATCTAGGACAGAAGGAAATAATGATCATAACGGCAGTTTTCCCAGTGGTACAGAGAAAAGCAGGACAAAGATGGTATCTATCACGTGCAATAGCAACAAGCTACTAAATAGCAGAGCTGGATTTGAAATGGCAGAACTTGTTGATTTTGCTTAAAACCAAGAAATCAGCATTCTTATCCACTCAGACCATACCTATTAAGCAGATACTGTGAGCCAGGCAGTGTGCCGGAAGGCTTTGCTTCTGTAGGGACAGAAATTTCCTTTTCTAAGCTCTTTGACTGGTTTAATAATTAAACTGATGTAAGACAGGCAAACAGGCACTTCCCTGGTGGTTCAGTGGCTAAGACTTCATGCCCATATTCCAGGGGGCCTGGGTTCGATCCCTGGTTAGGGAACTAGACCCCGTATGCTGCAACTGAGTTCACCTGCCTCAACAAAAGATCTGTGTAGTACAACTAAGACCCAGTGCAGCCGAAAAAAAAGACAGATCAGGAGATACAATTTGCTTCATAGGGGAGCCCCATAAAAGTTCTGAGACTCAAGACATTCAAACAATTGAGGCTCATATCCCCCCCTGAGCTAAGGAGAAAGGAGTAGGGCTCTGGGGCTTCAAATGGGAGGAAGAGAACCCACAGGAAGATGGGAAGAGAAAATGCTTGGAAGACCCTTGTGAGTCTCTTGGATGGCAAGGAGATCAAACCAGTCAATCCTAAAGGAAACCCACTCTGAATATTCATAATCAGCATCAGATGCTGAAGCTGAAGCTCCAATACTTTGGCCACCTGATACAAAGAGCCAACTCACTGGAAAAGACTCTGATGCTGGGAAAGATTGAGGGCAGGAGGAGAAGGGGGTGATGGAGGATGAGATGATTGGATGGCAGCTTCGACTCAATGAATGTGAATTTGAGCAAACTCCGGGAGATAGTGAAGGACAGAAGAGTCGGGAATGCTGCAGTTCATGGGTTCACAGAGTCGGACATGACTGAGCGACTTAACGACAACAAAAAAAGCACAAGTGCTTGGTAAACAAATGTTTGCCCCTCCAGGCAGATAATCCTTCTAGAAATGAAAAGTTGTCTTTGATGATAAATGTCTTCCTGGTGTAGGTCCCTTGTGAAAGTCGCTCAGCCGTGTCCAACTTTGCGACCCCATAGACTATACAGTCCATGGAATTCTCCAAGCCAGAATACTGGAGTTGGTAGCCTTTCCCTTCTCCAGGGGATCTTCCCAACCCAGGGATCAAACCCAGGTCTCTCTCATTGTAGGCGGACTCTTCACCAGCTAATTACCTTATTTTGAGCAGTTAAGGGAGAGGCAAGGAGCTTCTCCTGAGTCTGCTGGGTCTTCACTGCCTTCAGCTCAAAACAGTCAACCCAAAAGGGGGCATATTTGAGAAGATGTATTGTGCTTCCCATCACTTGTCTTTAAGCACTCTTTCTAGTGATTTTGAAACATGTTAAGAGGCTTCTTTGTGTTTCAAGAATCCACAGCTCAGAGATGGAGAACTTGCCCAATGTGTCCTTTTGCCACCTGCCCCTCGTCACTCCAATACTTCATGGAATTTAACTCCTAGGGTCAAGGACAGATAAACAATCTCGACAACTCTGTCTTATTTTCTCAGCAAATTGTAGCCTCCTCAAGTACATCTAGGATGCTGCATCAGTATGTTCGCCAGTTTGGGCAGAAGCTGGTCCACAGGCGAGGGGAAGACACCATAAAGGAGTCTGACGGTTTTGTGGTTCACCTGAATGCCATAGAACTGGTGTTCTTGGGTGTGGCAAGGAACCTGGGAGCCGGCCTGTACATCGTGGTTGGTGCCGTGGCCAAGTACGTAGCTGGACCAGCAATTGTCGTCTGCTTCTTGGTGGCCGGCCTGTCTTCCCTGCTGTCCAGGCTCTGCTATGTGGAGTTTGACGCCCGGGTCCCACGCTCCTCTTCTCCCTATGTCTGCAGCTACGTCACGATGGGGCAGCTCTGGGCTTTCGTCGTTGGCTGGAACATCATAGTGTTATTTTTATCTGGTGAGGTGATGGGGCCAGGTGACAGGTGTGGGGGAATTGTGTGGGGCTCAGGTCAGGAAACTGGGAGATGGGACTGTGGTCTTACTCGTGGGCACTTTGTTACCTGACTTGTGGGGGGAAGTGGGTAACAGTGGCTGGAAAACCCCACAACATCATTCTATTCAGCTCTCTCCTGCTTTCCTTAAATAATTGGACTAAGAATGAAAAGGAAAGGAAACTGTAGGCATGGGTGGGAGTGAGGCGTGTCCCACAGGCTCATCACCTCATTATATTGAAGTCTTTGCTCAGCTGTTGCCTTTGGGTGATTTTTTTTTGAAGGGGGGGTGTTGCCACTTGATTTAAAATTTCATCCCTCATCCTTTCGCCCTCCTGGTCCAACTTCCCTGTTTTCTTTCCTTGTGAAACATTGATCTCCTCCTAACGTTAAATAATGAACATATTTTGTGAGTCATCCCAGTCTGCTGTCACCACCCCATGAAAAAAATCTTTGAGATTATGTATTTTGTCTATTTTTTCCTCAAAAATACATCCGTTGGCACATACTAGGTGTTCAATTTTGTCTGTGAATGTTTGTTCTTCTGCTGCTGCAGCCACTGCATGTACAGCCATGGCTTGGAGGTACGCCTTTGACAACCTCATTGGGGACCGCATCTCTCAGGCATTGGAGGGAACTTTCCCTCTGCATGTGCCCTACTTACTGGCCACATATGCAGACTTTTTCACACTGGGCCTGGTGCTGTTGCTTGCAGGTGAGTCAGGGGTCAGATATAAGGTGGGATGAGGGGACTCCCCTGGTGGTCCAGTGGTTAAGAATCTGCCTTGCAATGTGGGGACACAGGTTCGATCCCTGGTCAGGGAGCTAAGATCTCATGTGCTGCAGAACAACTAAGCCCAAGTCCTTAGCCTGCACACTATAACTGGAGAATGTGTGTGTGTGTGTGTGTAGTTGCTCAGTCATGTCCGACCCTTTGGACTATAGCCCAATAGACTCCTTTGTCCGTGGGATTCTCCAGGCAAGAACGCTGGAGTGGGTTGCCATTTCCTTCTCTAGGGGATCTTCCTGACCCAGGAAGTGAACCCACATCTCCTGTGTTTCCTGTGTTGCAAGCAGATTCTTTATCCACTGATTCCCAAACTTTGCTGTTTGGGTCATAATGAAAGATCCCACAGCTAAAACCCAATTCAGCCAAGTTACTAACTAAATAAAACACTTTTTAAACAAAGATAGGCTGAGTAGGGTGTGGAGGGGGAGTTGAGGTTGGAAAGACTTGGGGACGGGGACTAGGACTGGAAAGGATGGCCTGTGCTATGAGAGACAGGAAGGCAAGACCTGGACGGTCGTTTCCCACTCTTGGCCCTCTTGACAATTCCAGCCAGTTCATTCCTTGGTAGGGGGGCTGTTCTCTGCATTTCAGGATGTTTTAAAAAATCACTGTTGGATGCTGAATTGCATCCCTGTCCTTTGCTCACTAGATACCAGGGAAACTCACTCCCCAGATTCTGACAATTGGAATGTCTCCAGACTGTGCCAAATGTTTGGGGAATAAAATTTAATCCCAGGTGAAAATCATTTACTTAGACCGATATATTTTCATCTTGGTACTGAGACCAAAGATTTTTTTTTTTTTATTTCAGAGGAAATTCACAAAGCATAAATTTATCATTTTGCTATTTTCCCCAGCTTTACTGAGATATAACAGATATACAGCACAATAGGTTTGAGCTGAGCAATGTGATTTTTTTTTTTTTTTTTGGCTGTACCAGATCTTTGTTGCTGCTCAAAGGTTTTCTCTAGTTGCAGAGAGCATGGGTTACTCTTTGTTGCGATACACAGGTTTCTTTTTGCGGGGCTTCTCATGTTGCAGAGCATAGGCTCTAGAACTTGGTCTCAGTAGTTACAGCACATGGGCTTCTTTTTCTTTGGCACCTGGAATGTGTCTGGACCAGGGATGGAACTCTTGTCCCCTGCATTGCCTGGCAGACTCCTAACCACTGGACCACCAGAGAAATCCCACAGTGATGATCTGATAGACTGCCTATTGTGAGATGATCGCCACAATAAGAAATGAACTATTAGGGCCTCCCTGGTGGTCCAGTGGCCAAGACTCCTTGCTCCCAGTGCAGGGGACCAAGGTTCTCCCCCTGGTCAGGGAACTAAGATCCCACTGATGCAACTAAGAGTTCACACGCCACAACTGAAGATTCTGTTATGCCACAGTGAAGACTCAGCACAGCCAAATATAAATAAAATGAAACATTTTTTAAATTATAAGAAAAGAAATGAACTATCTTATGGGAACAATTCAGGGGCACTAGTACATTCACAATGTTGTCCAGCCATCACCTGCATCGAGCTTCAAACACGTTCATCTCCCCTAAAAGACACCCTGTACCCACTGAGCAGTCACGGTCCATCTGCCCCGCCCCACACCCCAGCCCCTGAGGCTGCTTTCCGTCTCTGTGGACTTAGTTACTGTGCAGGTCTCACATTCCCTCTCTCCTCCAGTACTGCTCCCTCTAGGCGTTCCTGAGTCAGCATGGGTTTACAGAGTGTTCACAGGCATCAACATTTTGGTTCTCAGCTTCATCATCATCTCTGGCTTCATTAAGGGAGACCTGCACAACTGGAAGCTCACAGAACAGGACTACCAATTGGCCACAGCTGTATTCATTCATAGGTTAGGAGTGTACCCTTGGTCATATTAATGTGTATGTGTGTGTGGGGTGGAATCAGAGCTGAGAATTTTGTGGGGACTAAAGAGACCCAGGCTGGTGGATCCGGATGGTGGGTTTCCAGAGTTTGTGGTATTGAGCGAAGAGTCCAGAAGTGATGGCTGAACCCACCTCACCCACGTTCTTTCTTTCTCCTTCTCCCACCATAGGTTGGGCCCTGTAGGTGTTGGAGGGTTTGTGCCTTTTGACTTTGAGGGGGTTCTCCGAGGAGCAGCTACGTGTTTCTATGCATTTGTCGGTTTTGCTGCCATTAACCCTAGAGGTAACGAGGTCACCGTGTGTCCCATCGGGGGTTTGGACAGAGTTTGGGCTGCCCTTAGGCACAGAATTTGGGGGAAGGTTAGCCTGCTTTTGGAGGTCCAAGGAGGAAGGCAATTCTGTGCTTTCACTCAAGGTGTTTTCCTGACCTGCTGCTTCTACCCCTTTTGCAGAGAGAGGAGACCTAAAGCCTCAGCGGTCCATCTCCCTGATCTCACTCCTGATGTGCTTTTTGGCCTATTTTGGTGTCTCAGCGGCACTCACCCTCATGGTGCCCTACTACCAGATTCATCACCACAGCCCCTTGCCCGAAGCTTTTCTCCATGTAGTCTGGGGCCCTGCCAGATACGTCGTGGCTGTTGGTGTTCTCTGTGTTCTCACGTCCAGGTCAGTGGTACACGGGTTTCTCTCCATCTACTGTCAGATGCTCATGCACCCCAGCCTGTGGGACTGAGAGACAAGAGGGAAAGATGTCTTGCTCCCTGTAGACCAGGGAGCGGATGCCCTGGTCACCCCTGCTTCTCCGTCCTCACACGTGTCTCCACTTTCTCTCCAGCCTCCTGGGTGACATGTTCCCCATGTCTCGGTTAATCTGCGCAATGGCAGAGGACGGGCTCCTTTTCCGGGGACTTGCCCAAGTCTACACTCACACAAAAACCCCCATCATGGCCATCATGTATTCTGGAAGCCTTGCAGGTGAATAAACAAAGCTCACTCCTTCCTTGATCCGTTTCCTTTATGTGCAGATGCAGTGGTTTCTCAATCGCACCCCCTCCGTTTTTGTTCCCCCATTCTAGTGAAAATGGCATTACTCTTTAAATTCAGTGACATTGTAAACCTCATGGCAGTTGTGTCCCTGCTCGCTTACTCCATGGTGTGTTTCTCGGTCCTTGTTCTCAGGTGAGACCCCGCTACACCTTGATCAGGAGGCTTGGGGTCATGGGGACGATGGGGAGGTCATCCTGGTCTGTGTCATGCTGCCTTCTGATTGTTCAAGAGAGGAAAGAAGTGGAATAGACAACCTGATGTTGTGTGAATGGGGGCTGCTGTTAATACCGCCTTTAAACCTCTAATTCAGGTACCAGCCAGATCAGAATTTATGTAAGAATGAGGAAACAGAAGAAGAACCTGAGATGGAGCCTGTACTTGAAAGAGGTCCTTTGGACTCTGAACCTGAAGAAGGAACCGCAAACGTTCTAAAGAGCCTGTGGTTCCCTACGAGCACCACCCCCACCTGGAAATCTGGCCAGATTGTCTATGGATGTGCCTTTCTGCTCAGTTAGCAGTGGGGTTTCCCTTTATTCATATTCTGAAATTGACTGGATGGAGTGAGAGTGTGTATTTTCTCAGTTGAGGAGTCTGGGAGATAGGATGGCCCTTCCTGATGTTGGTGGTTTCAGGGAGGGGTGTGACCCGAGGTCCTGACATCTGTCTTCTGGGTCCAGCCTGTTCTCCTCCACCTTGACCCTTGCAGTTCTCCTGTTGACCATCCTGAGCCTGATCCTGGCCCAGTGGCCCAGACGTGTGCTCTCTGGAGACCCTGTGCTCACAACAGTGACTGTGCTGCTGCTGCTCATCATTGGGGTCACGGTCATCATCTGGAGGCAGCCCCAGGACCCCTCTCCTCTTACGTTCAGGGTAGGTGACCTATGTGTTCAAAGTGTCCACCTTGAGAGAAGCAGGTCTGTGTGCTTTAGGTCTAAACATCCTTCGTTGGACCAGGGAAGAAGGGGAGTTGCTGAAACCAATGGACTCTTCCCTGATCCACACTCAGTGCTTTAGAAACCAGGCTCAATAGGCACCGAACACACAGCCTGAATTGGGCAGAACTTGTCGCGCCCTCGTGGGGAAGGGTCTCCCTTTCGGATGTCTGGGTTGTGTTCAGGGATGAATTGACTCTGCCCACATGTCCCTGCTCTGCCTGTCCTCCCACTGGTGAGCATCTTTCTGAACATTTACCTGATGATGAAGATGAGCACTTGGACCTGGACCCTCTTTGGTATCTGGAATGCCGTTGGTGAGTGACTGTCTGGGGTGAAGAGGCTTCTTGAGTGACTGAACCCAATCCTCTTCTAACCACCTCTCCCCTAAACTGTGTCAGACGCCATAATAGGAGGCTTTCTGGGCATTCATAAGTGAGGAGAGCCCCTGTTTTTCTTCTTACTGTCTCATTTCCCTACTAGGATTTGCCATATACTTTGGATATGGGATCCGACACAGCCTGGAGGAGAGCAATGATCAACAGCCACCAGCCTCCACCTCCTAGGCTCCGGACTAAAACACCCGTAGTGACGAAGCATCTTAACCACAGGAAATAGATGCTGTGTGCAGCCCCCCATGCCCTGGAGGTATCTGCTGGTTCAAGGTGCACTTTGAGCCTCGATGGACTGTGAAGGTGGAAAGCATTTAGTGTTTAGTATAAATATTTAGTATTTATTGCCAGTGGACAAAATGACTTTGTTATTGTATAATTTTTAAGCAAACGTTTTAAAGCTTAGTATACATACAGAAGATTGCATGCTTCATAAGTGTGTAGTAAGATGAATCTTCACAAAGGAAGTACTATGATGTAACTGGCAATTAGAGGAAGAAATAAAATATTAGCCGACACATAAGAAGCACCTTCTTGTACTTATTTCCAATAAGAACATAGAGATTGCCCCATGGGAAGGAAACTCAGGTAATTATGTATTATGTCAAGAGTTATACTTTAGGGGCTTTCCTGATGGTCCAGTGGTCAAGACCCTGGGCTCCCAATGCAGGGGGCATGGTTTCGAGCCCTAGTCTGGGAACTAAGATTCCACATGCCACAACTAAGACCCAGCACAGCCAAATAAAGAAGCAAGTAAGATTTTTAAAAAGAGTTACATGTAAATATTAGCCCATGAATAGGCTAGAAATAAAAGAAAGGGAACAGATATTTTGTGCAAATACTAACAATAGAAACTCGGGTGGCTATATTGCTATCCGAAAAATTAGATTTTAATCAAAAGAATAGCAATAGATAAAGTTGATCATTTCATAATGATAGAGAGAAATGATCATTTTGGTATTTTCTCCCAACCTTGTTGAGACAAAGTGTAACATAGTGTAAATGGTTGGTTTTCTTTACATTTCTATCCCAGAGTCCTTGAGTCACACAGTAGTGTTGATGAAGAAAACGTCTTAATTGGAAAAGAAAACTTTCTGCATTATCAGAAGTGGGGGGAAGAGGTCATATGTAATGGTTGGTTGATAAATGGTTCCAGTGGGGTTGAACTAAAAGCTAGAAAGTAAAACTAGAAAGACAGGACAGAAAGTTGCTGCTGCAGAACAGAATGCTTGAAACTGAGATTACTGTCATGCAAGAAGTTGGTATTAATGGAGCAGAGGATTGTTTGTGGGAACAACTGAAGTAGAGTGAAGGAGGGATGGAGGTCAGGAAATCAAGTACAAGTTATTAGATGAATTTAAACAAAGATGGAGGAGAATGAATAGAATTAGGAAAATCACTACCTTGTAAGTTCTATTGAAATTACTGACTTAGGAAGCAATGAATGGAGAATGAGACTGTCAGGTCTCAATTTTGATGGAAAAGTTGATATCACCTGATTGTGTTGACCCCTTACTGATGTGGGACAACCAGATATCAAGTGATGCCCAATGTACTGTGATAGGCAATCCAGAACACTTCCCATACAATAGTCCTGGTGAAAAGTTGACTCAGAATTAATCAAGTCTCTACATCAATTGCTTTCCAGGTGGCCCAGTGGTAAAGAATCTGCCTGCAATGCAGAAGACACAGTTTTGATTCCTGTATCAGGAAGATTCCGTGGAGGAGGAAAAGGCAACCCACTCCAGTATTCTTGCCTGGAGAATCCCATGGACAGAGGAGCCTGGCGGGCTACAGGCCATGGGGTTGCAAAGAGTTGGACACAACTGAGTGACTAAGCATGCGCGCCTGCACCCTGGATCACCTAGGAGCTCAGAGCAGACATTAGGGATAGATTCACATTTCAGCTGAAAACCTGGTCACCCAGGGACTTCCTCATTGCAAGGGAGCACAGGTTGAATCCCTGGTTGGGGAACCCACATGCCTCACAGCCAGCGCCTCCCCCACCAAAAGAAAATCAGCCAAACCAGAATGTGGGTAATTCTCTAGGACAGAAAATGATGCACTTTCTGTAACAATTAAATAATATGACCCAATGCAGAGAGTTCATACAGGCATGTGAAAGTGTTAGTCTCTCAGTTGTGTCCGACTCTTTGTGGCCCCATGGACTGTAGCCCGCCAGGCTCCTCTGTCCATGGGATTCTCCAGGCAAGAATACTGGAGTGGATTGCCATGCCCTCCTCCACGGGATCCTTTTGACCCAGGGATCAAACCTGTCCTCCTGCATTGCAAGTGGATAATTTACTGTCTGAGATACCAGGAAAGTCTTGGAGATATTACTGATTTGGTTCTACAGAGTTGACATAAAAGAAAGTCACAAATTTTTTTTTTCAGTATCCCAGTGCACATAAAGGTTATGCTTATACTACACTACAGTCTAGTCAGTGTGCTTAGAATTCTGTCCGAAAAACCCCAATATACCTACTGTAAGCCACTCCTTTGCCCATTTCTGTTTGCTCATCCCTGTTTTCCTTAGACCTTAATCGTAAAGATGAGATCATTAGGCAACATTTAACTTTCTGCTTTTCTAATTACGCACAACACCTCACCTAACCTGCTAATTCCTGGATTATAAGGAGTAAGAATGAAGAATTAAGTAGTTTAAGAATGACTGACTCTCTACCCCTAGGTTCCCCTTAGTAAATTTTCAGGTGGACCACAAGGGGAAGAGAACCTCCAGTTGCAGGTGGATCTCCCAAGTCAGATAGTGTCCCAGGGAAGACCAGGAGAAGTCAGCAGGCTTGTAGCAATGGAGAAATGAGAGGGAATTTGACCTCCTGCCTAAAGGATTAACTGAGACATTTAATCATCTTCCCTTTAAAGATTCCCTTGTGCCTCAGCTGGTAAAGAATCTGCCTGCAGTGTGGGAGACCTGGGTTCCATCCTTGGGTTGGGAAGATCCCCTGGAGAAGGGAAAGGCTACCCACTCCAGTATTCTGGCCTGGAGAATTCCATGGACTGTATAGTCCATGGGGCCACAAAGACTCAGACACGACTGAGAGACTTTCACTTAAAGATTGTCATGGCTGCGCAGAACTGGCATGGACACAGGTCCACCTTCTCCTGAGACAGCTGGCTTTTCTGGAATAAAGCATCTTTTTTCTCTGCAGAAGCTTGTTCCTTGCTTTATTGTCTGTTGAGTGGCGAGTGGCTGAACTAGCAATCAGTTACAAATCTAACTGCTGGGCTAGAATAGCCAATGAATCAATGCTTGTCACCATGTTTCTGAGTTAACACACCCAGGGTGAGTCCTCTATCTTCACGCACAATGATTAAACGTGGCAATTTATAGTTAGGATGGCCTACTGCTGGAGCCTGGGCTACTGCAGATATTAAAGCATCGATAGCCTGTTTTCCTTCTCTCATTCATTCAGTTGGGTCTGGTTGGGTAGAATTTAGTAGCACATAGAGAGGGTGGGCAATGCAGGGATATCTCGGTACTCATTCTCTCCGTATCTGGTTAGACTTAGAAATCCCCCGAGTGATTGGGGACTGAGAAAGCCAAGGTTCCCTTAATTCTTTCAGAACCAATCAGCATTCTTCCTTAGATATGAAATAGCCTGAATATTTCACAACTGATGAGCAGAACTTCAGTTTGTCTGTGGAGGCATTGTCTCTTAGACACTTATTGTTGTAATGGATAATGTCTAAACTCTCCACAACAGCTTAAGACACTTTATTCCACCTTGCATTGTTGGCTCTAAGAAAATTTGCAGTATTGTAAGTCAACTATAACTCAATTAAAAAA